AAAATGTCAGAAGAAACACTTCAACCTTTGATCAAAATGTTTCATTTTGGTTTAGTTCAACACTGAACTGTGTCTGCCTGAGCTGCCACAGTGTCTCTCAGGAATTACAGTTGAGGTGCCTCATGACCCCATTCTCCTCTATGGGCCAGAGAACAAACTACTTCTTACATCGTGCACCACATCATGGACTCCCAAGAGGCCCTGAAGCAGTTCAGCCAGAAGGGAGGCCACACTGCACCATGGGAGATGTAGTCCAGGGAAGAAGTCTGGCCCAGAGAGGAAGATTGGTATGAGGCACCTGGACTATGACTCAGATGAGGCATTATAGCAGCTAAGACTGACAAAGATTAATGTCAAACAGACACAAAATGACATGCTCAGGTTTGGTTTGGCACAGTTTTCCATCAGAAAGTGCTTATTTGACAGAATCGACACATTCCAGGGGAATATGTCAATTCAAATAAACGCTTCATATAAACCAGGCAGCGAGGCTTTTTCTGACTGTTCCTGTTTGGGACATTAAAATCTAGCAATGCAAATTTTTCTGTGAAACAGAAATTCTGGTTCCTGCACAGTTCTAGTGGGTACAGTAGGAAAATCTATAGGAATCTTGGAATGCTTCAAAGAGTGTCTAGCTTGTGATGAAATGGAACAGCCCATTCTTTTCAAAATCCAGTTCAAAGTTTCATTGCTTACTTCCCCTCCCTACCCTCTACCCCTGCCACTGAAAGTAGAGGTATCAGTTTAAAGAGAAGTTTGGTAGGTTATATTTTTGGCCTGTCACATGGACACTGTCAGGTTTAACAATGTTCTTGAATAAAGAATCATAGAGGCCAAAAGTCTTGAGTCAGATATTTGCCATTTAAAAATTTCTTCTGATACATCCAAATATCAGTCCTAATGGGATGCTGAATAGGCTTTGATTACTACTGTTGGAGTACCAGGTAACTTGATAAGCACAGTTTAGTTATTCATGGGTCAGAATTTGGTCATTCATGGGTCATAACATGTCAATAGCCTGAGTTAAACTAATGGTAAAAGTGACTGGGTGTCTGTGTGGGAGGATCAGAACATGCTAGCAATGAAACACTCTGGCCATGTCTACACATACAGCTAGGGTGACCAGATAACAAGTGTAAAAAATTGGGACGGGGGTGGGGGAATAGTTACCTATATAAGAGAAAGCCCCCAAAATCGGGACTGTCCCTATAAAATCGGGACATCTGGTCACCCTACGTACAACACTGCAGTTGGGTGGCTGCAGCACATCTGATGAACACGCGCTATGCCAACGGGAGAGAGCATTCCTGTATGCATAATAAAACCACCTCCGTGAGCAAAAGAAGCTGTGTCATCAGGAGAAGCTCTCCCACGGAGATAGCGCTGTGCACATGAGCATTTACGTTGGTGTAACTTATGTCACTCGGGGGGTGGTTTGTTCCCCCGCCCCGAGCAACATAAATTATGCTGACATAGGCTGTAGTGTAGTCATAGCCTCTGGTACACCCGTTGTGGGGGTGAAGAGGGGTGGGGAGGGAGATTAGAGGTGGGGGTAGGGGTGGCAAATAGCAATTACTTATCGCTATGGAATCCTTGGCTGAAAGGTGCTCAATATATGTCAAGTATTATAAGGGGTTTGTTTAACTCCCAACTCATGAATGAAACCATATGGATCCAAGATTTCATCTCAAATATAAATAGTATTTGATGTGCACTTCTCCTAGGAGATACTGTGAAAAAAAGAGCATAGATAGGGCAGCAAATAAATAAATAAATACAATAAAACCATTGCGTTAAGAAATGAATCAGAATAAAATGCGAATACAGGGAGACTCAGATTGGTCTACACTCAAAAGTTATAGCAGCATAGCCACACATGCTAACTGACATAGCTAAGCCAAAAAACAAAACAAAACAGGTACCCATCACTATGCTGACACAAGAGTGTTTTTATCGGCATAGTTAACGTCATTCAGGGAGAGGGTGTTCCTCCGCCAGCAGAAAAACTCTTTCTGTGGGTGCTCGTTGAACCTCCATTGGGGGCTCTGCCAGCCTAGCTAGTATAGGCTCTGTCGTGTAGATATTGCCTGAGACAAGGAGGAGAGATGTGAAGAGAAATATTTTCTTCATTAGAACAAATGTAGTGTGTAGGCAGCACTTACAGACCAACCACTTGTGCCAGTCTGCCTTTGGGAAGATGGCTTCTTTCCGTAATATGTAGATAAGGCTTCCCTGCTGAGAGAAAAACAGCCTGGGTTTTTTTTCTTAATAATTAAAAAGAAATCTAAACGTGCCTCACCTTAAAGGACAGGCTGCATGTACACCCTAGCCAATGTTATCCATGCCAGTTCTGGCATACCATTTTTATGCTGCTACTCCTGTTGGTAGCTACCTCTCTTTGGACCTCCCTGGTCCTGCCTTTCACATTTTCCTGCTTCCCAGCACCCCACTATCAAACCTTATCTTCCTCTGCTTCTCACTCTGCCTCACTCCCTCAGCCTTCTGGTGCACCGGATGCGCCTCACCTTTTCCCATCCCTCCCCTCACCCAGTCTTCCCACTCCTTCAAATTGCCATAGTTTCAACAGCTGATCCCTCCCCATGTCTCCATGCTGTTGCTCCTTCCAATAAGCCGCTGGCATTCTACTTAGCTACTTGCTCTGCATCTGCAGCTACCATGCCCCAGCTGTACGTCTACATTCAGCAAACTAGTCTGAGTTTCAATGCACTACCTCTTAAACAAAACAAAACACCTGAATAAGCACTTGTGGACAATTCTGCTTGCATGGTTAATGCCCCTCTGCTCCTCATTAGGCAGGTTTTGGTGCAGTGCACATGCTTCTGGTTGACATCTCTGTTCAAGGACTTCACTATTTTGTCTCTTTGCAGTTGAAATTGTCCTCATCCTAGTATATGAAATTTTGGAGTGTAGTTTAACTCACTGCCTACGATACAGAGACAGCAGTGTTCAGGACTGCAGTGATGGCACATCTGAACGAGCAATGTAAGATGCTACAGGTTTTGCCTAGTATCTACTGTGAAATGACAATCTGCAGCTACAATAGGGGAACTGGGTATTCTGCGGATTTTGTGGCTGAGGAATTGGCCAACAAAATTCCCCTCTTGGTACAGAATTGTGCTCCAGAATCTAAGCGTTCATTGATAAAAATGTAAAAAACTAAAAACAAGGAAAAACTTGGCCGCATTTGAGGCTTCTTTTGCAGTATCTTAGGCATGGAAATCGGCTATAATGCTGCCCTAAAACAGGCAGTTGAGGAATCCTCAGGTAACATAGAGCCTTTAGAAGGCTTCACAACACCTACTCTGCTTGACTTCTTGTTGGGTGTGGGTTGGAGCATGCCAAGGTGGGTCCAATGCAGTCACAGATTAGAGCGGTCCTCAGGCTCAGGGCTGGAAGAGCAGAAATGGGGCTTAGTCACCTTCTTCTCCCCCCACCCTCTACCCACCCTGCCTCAGCTGAGCAGAGTGCAAGCATGGCACATATGAGAATCTGGCCCTGCGTTTCTAGCACAGGTTGCAAAGAAAAACTTGACTACATGAACAAAGTGTCACCAATACAGCAATATGTGCCTGAGTTTGCAAACAGCATGGAAACAATGGTTCTAAGAGGCGTGGACTGTATCGTTTTGATATTGTCAAAAACAAAAATCAGGACACTTTTTTTAAGGCTCTTTTTTTTTTTTTTTTGAAAGGAATGTGAAATACATGTGCAGCAGACTGTCTCCTTTCTTCCATCTGCTCAGTCAGAAAAGCTCCCCCTGGAGCAGCAGAGCAGAACAAAGACAGGCTAAGCTCTGCCTCAACTTTCGGAGCCCCTCTGTCTCTCACTTCCCCCTCTCTATATCGCTGATTGTAGAGAGAAGGGGAGCAAAGGACAGAGAGGCACTATCAGGTCCGCATCCTGCCCCTCTTTAACAAGAGACCAGAGCAGGGTTTTGCACTGACTAGATGGGGTCATTTACTCAGAGGTCTGCTGCTGCAAAGCTGTTTCCTGACAAGCTCTGATTTTGAAGTGCTGGCATAAAACACACTCCCTATGTGCGGAGAGTGAAAGAGAGGCACCAAATACTCTGTATCAGGGTAGCCACACAACAGAGACAAACATTTCACAGTTAGAAAATTATCAAAAGTTTTGTTTGATTAAATGAAAAACGAGGTCACTTCAGCCTCTCCCACGCCCCACCCCCCAAGATGTTCTTGGGAAACTGGGACAACCAATGAAAATGGGACATCTGGGGCATTACCTCTGCAACCTAGGGATGATAAATTAAATGTGAAAACTAAATGTTTCACTGTGAGTCACTTTGGCAGAAACATCTAACTAATTTGCATATCTCTGAACAAATACAGAACCCTACTTTACTAAGTAGCTAAGACTGAATAAAAACCTTTATTTTTTTCTTCAATTTATCTGAGGCTGCCACAGAATTTGCAACAGTGTGCTGCAGAATCCAGAAGTTTTGCCACAGAGTTTAGGTCCACCTTATAATGAAGGACACAGGCTGGACCTTGGCTGGACCATACGAAACATAGTAATCAGAACAAGTTAGAGCTCCTGTAGTCGACAGATGGACTTACGACTGAAGCACGTGCTGAAATAAGCAGTGCACTCATCAAATGAACTTGGAACATGACTTCATTTTTCTTTTGGTGATTACTGTGTGGATAATACACCTGTCTACCCATGTGTCGAAAACCTATAAAAATGAAAACGTGCATTAATAAAATGCTGATGATTAGTCTTGTTGACCTCATGACTTCTGTAATCCTATGCTGAAACTCCTACTGTTTACACAACACTAAATCCCATGCAATGAAGCTCAGTCAGAGAACTGCTCCCTCCCCCAGGCAGATGTTCTTGTTTTTAGGAAACTGGATCTTCATTCCTGGAGGAACAAGTACTGTAACAAAAAAAGAGGGAGACTCAAATGACTGATCCTAAAGTTGGGGAGAATATTGTTTGTTATTTGTATTGCACAGGTGCCTAGGACCTCAATCATGAACCAGACCCCATTGTTCTAGTCCCTGTACAAACAGAACAAACAGATGGCTCCTCTGCCCAAGCACTTACCACCTAAGTATAAGGTGAGGGGAAAGAGCTGAATGCAGCAAATTGACAGGGGAGCACAAGGAAACAATGGAATTGTGACCAGCACGATAAGCACTGCATGCCAGCAGACTGTAAGTACTGCAATAAAGGCGTTTTAAGGAAGAATTTGAAAGAGGAGAATATGGTGGCTTTGTGGATCCTTAATGGGGAGCTCCTCCCATGTATGGGGCGGGGGGGTGGTGGCATAGGAGAAAGCACAAAGGTACTTGTTGAAAAGTTTGACAAATGGGCAATCCAGGGCTGGCTTTAGAGGCGGAGCCGAGGTGGGAGTTGATATCTTGCTAGTGTATAAGAGATGATGGGTAGGCTGGGAATAGGCCATGAAGGGCTTAAAAGTGAAGAGAAGCAGCCTGTGTTCAATATGGGGTTGGCGCAGGGGCTGTTGTTGGGGGAGATGTGGTTGAAGCAGGAAAGCAATCTTCACAGCAGTGTTTTAAATGGATAGAAGTGGGGCAGCATGGCTCCATGAAGTGGAATCTCTCTACCAAATTATTCATTTCACTTTTTCTTAGAGTCAAGTTTCTTTTTAATTGGAATGAGGAACACATTGCTCTTTGGCAAGGCTGGGGAAAAAATTAATTCTCTAATCAAAAGATAAATTCAAGGAAGTAATTTGGAAGATTCAGGCATCAGATCTAACTACAATTGAAGTAATTTCTCTATTTTACTTACCATGGTTTTATTGTGCTGAAACTACCATTAACCGAAGTAATTGGAAAGGAGGGAGGAAGGAATTGCCTATTGCAATTTAATTTCCACACAGGTGCTGAACACTCAGTGTCCATATTTCAATGTACTGCCATTGGCAGACTAGTCAGAGAGAAGCCTCTGGTTTCTCCAAGAGCAAAATGGCTCTCTGGTAGGCCCTAGTATATACACGGATGCTGTGTCTACACTAATGACAGCCTGTAGAGTACATACACAGCACACACCCCTACCACATGTATAAATAGCAGTGTAGATGGCAAGGCACTACTTAAACAAGTAACAACACACCAGAACTTCAGGGTATATCCTCTACAAGGCTCTCTATATCTCTGTACACCCAAGCAGTACCTCCCACCGCTACTCTGTTGTTTTTCACAGTGTAGTATCCTACAACCTCTCTTCTGACAGAGCCTTTCCCCACTGCAGGGAAAGGCTCTGGAAGTGGGAAGACAGTGGGGAAAGGCTCTCACAGCTCCCCACCCCTGGAGCTTTTTTCACTGGCTCCCCACTGCCAGAACCTTTCCCTGTGGCATGTAGCTGCACACTACAGTGTGGCTACAGCTTGCTTTTCACTGCAGCGCATAGCTACACATACCATGCATGCTATTGCCAGTATAAACAAGGCCTATGGGTATGTCTACATGGCTATGTAAGCCCAGACTCAGGCTTGAGGCCACCCCCACACTCCCCAATCTGTCTACACACAATTCTGTCTGACTTGGGCCTGAGCCCCAGGAGCCCATAGCTTGGGTGGGTTCAAGACTGGGTCCTGCTGGGACTCAGGACCAAACTCCCTGGTTTTGAAGTGTGGATGTAGCTCAGGCCCCGGGCCTCCCAGACTCAGGTCCTGAGAGTCCACCGATACTATCCCACAATCCCATAGGCTCTGCTCTTTCTGTCCCAGTGTAGCCAATCAGTTTCCAGGAAATAGAAGCATCCCCTACCCCCTTGTTCACGTACAGAAGTTTGGCATTTAACCCTTCCATTTTGTTCTGACTGCTGAGGTGCAAACCCAGTGAACCTTCTTCTACTTCTGACCAGAAGTCTTTTGCCAAGTGCACCACTTCCTGGTCGTGGGAGCACAGCCAGATTTGGGTGAATCTGTGGTGCGAGGCAAGCAAAAAGTTCAGTTTTAGTAAGATTACCAGGAATGACCACACATGCCAGGAACTAGAGGAGATGCTAGTAAAACAGGGGATTCACCAGACCAGTGCAGGGAGTGGATTAAACAGCTCAAGACTGACTACCAGAAAGCCAGGGTTAAGAACTTATTAAGACTGAGTTTGATAAGTTTATGGAGGGGATGGTATGATGAGTTGCCCACAGTGGCAAGTGGGCCATCTGTGACTGCAAATATCTTCAATGGCTGGAGATGGGACACTAGTTGGGAGGGCTCTGAACTACTACAGTGAATTCTTTCTCAGCTGTGTGACTGGTGGGTCTGGCTGACCTGCTCAGGATCTAACTGATCACCATAGATTCTCTGTAACTTGAAGCTTAAGTCATGATTTGAGGACTTTAGTAACTCAGCCAGATGTTATGGATCTATTACAGGAGTGGGTAGGTGAGGTTCTGGAGCCTGTGATGTAGTCAGACTAGATGCTCATGATGGTCCCTTCTGGCTTTAAAGTCTATGAGAACAGCACTTCGGGCACCTCATTTGTCATCCTGCTCCTTTTTGAGGTGTTTGACCAAGTGGTGGGTACTGTGCTGAGCACAGAGCAAACTGCTTCATGAAGGCCTAGTCAGCCAAGAAGGCAACCTTCTGATGCTCAAACTAGAACAAGGCTGGAGGGGAGCCAGCAGGTGCCGGATCAGGCTACCAAAGTGACACTGGTCCTGGAACTGGTCCCTGAGGAGGCTTTGCTACCGGAGCAGCTGCAGCACTTCCTGGGTCCATGCTCAGAGGCACTTTTTGATGCCTCCCCTTGAGGAGGAACCTGCTCCAGAAGGAACAGAAGAGACAGAATGCACCCCACAGCCTGGTAAGTTTCTGGCTCCATGTTTGTTTTTATTAGTACAGAATGGGAGCGATTGTCAGGCTCTGCACCAATGCAAAAGTTATTACAGGCCGTGGGCAGTTACAGCTATCCACTAATGGCAGATTGCATGCCAGCACCTCGGCATCTTCCTCCCATATTCCCCCACCCCTGGAATTCAAAATGGAGACTGGGAACCACACTGTGAAACAAGCATGTAAAAATGAAGTTTTATTAGAAATGTGCACATTCTTGCTAAGATGGTCCAGGGTGTTAAAAATAACCCAATATTGCCTTCCCTGGTAGTCACCATGCCATACTAATATAATGGTGTAATGAGCTGCCTGTAAACAATGAACTGTCCAGGGGAGGTTGACATGTAGTCCATACAAGCTAAATGGATTCTATGGATGTCTGAAGTACAGCTGGAGGTTTGCATACAGTCCAGAAGTGTTCTGGAGGTGGGGGGCCGGTGATTTCTTTGCAAGCCTGTATTAGTGTGTGTTTGTGTAACCCACACATCTTCTGGGTGTGGGGTTCTGTCCCATCTAGTGGCACCAAGACCACTTAAAGAGAGAGATAAAGTGAGTCTGCTCTACAGCCTTAGCTAAGAGCCAGTTGGCTTTTAGCTCATGCAGTAGAGGCTCGTGCACTAAGCTCCAGAGGTCCCTGGTTCAATCCTGTCCGCCACCAACCAGGGTCTGTCTGTGTTATATTTGCATATGGTCATAAAAGCCTGTACCAAAGCTATACCGAGGCAGTAATCCATGCAGATGCTACTGCAGCGTCCTGTGGATTTTCTCCTCACATTTTGCCCCAATCCCAGATGCTCAGAGCTGCAAACTTTTCCTGTAGTGGAAACTTCTGATGGGTAGTCACCTTTTGGGAAAGGGTGTATTTTCCAGGACCACCTCAGTAGCTGACCAGCCCACTGCAGAGGTGTGCTGTTCAGTCACCATAAGTTTGACTATTCCAGTGGCATACATGGCTGGCTGGCCCCTGGAAGTTTGGAATAAAAACCTCTTTGCCTCAGGAACCATAATAATTGTTACATCCTCCAAAATGTAGAATGCCTGAGAGGACAGAGAAGGTTTATGTTGTATGCCACAGCCACTCTCTTTTCCCCAAAGCCCAAGGTGGTCTGCAATTTTTAAACAATTGTGATTTTTAACTTACCCTTTTTAGTGTAGTCTTCTCACAACAATCAACCTGGTTGCGTCCCCAGAGCTTCTAGGAGATGAAGCATTCCTCTCACAATAGATTGAAGTTCAGTTTTATAGAGTATAATTTTTTGTCCTTGAGATTCCACAAGGATTTTTTGTGAATCACTGAGGCAATAACAGTCTGTTTTATGTCTGCTTAGGCACCTCAAGTGTCCATTGTACCTCAGCAGCTCACACATACTCCAGCAGAAGACTAGGTCTCCATACCATCACAGAGTGGTCCAAGAGGAAGCAGTTCTGTGATGAACTTATGGCTGATGTTCTGGATAGCAGGTTCAATACTCAAGAGAAGGATTCAGGCAAGTGGAGAGGCAAAGAGAAAGTCACGAGCAAGCTGCAGAGCTTGAAGACAGAACTGCTGGCTGTTCAGAGAGGAAGATAGATCACAGCAGAAAGACCTAGTTGAGTGGCTGCTTTCGCTAATGGCTGCAAGAATGGGGGCTCCAGCTGTGCCCGTACCGCAGCCTACGTCCCTGCCACACTACCATGCGCTGCGTACCAGGAACACTTTGGACAGTCCCATGTCTGGGTGGCCCATGCAACCAGGACTTAGCAGCTGGACAGTGCAAATCTACTCCTGGCATACTTCTGCCCCTCTGGTGATCTCCTCCTCACTGCACATATCCACCCCTTCCCACACATGGACCTTTCCCCCCTGCAGGTCTCCACACCTCTGCAATGGCAACAAGTATGTGCCATTTCACAAACAAAGGAAAGGAGAACATGGTAGGGGACATGCAAAATTAGGGGATGTGTGTGATGGCACTGTTCAGTGTTTGATTTATGCATTTTGTTTTATTACTGGTTGTGGTGTTGGTTTACTACTAGGGTCTCGGTTGTTCTAGTGGCAGCTAGCCTACCTGGCCATGCACTAATATTTTTGTAATACAAATAAAGGCTTTTGTTTTATTAAGAAAGTTTATTACATCTCGATACCACATCTTATAATGTGTAGTTTGAATTATAAAGACAAACACAGTGTAAGACACAATGGGTAAGTTGTATCCAAAACAATTTCTTGATACACATCAATGTAAATTAGGGTGAGCAGACAGCAAATGTGAAACATCGGGACAGGGGGTGGGGGGGTAATAGGAGCCTATATAAGAAAAAGACCCAAATATCGGGACTGTCCCTATAAAAATTGGGACATCCGGTCAC